TTTTTTTTTTTTTTTTTTTTTTTTTTTTTTTTTTTTTTTTTTTTTTTTTTTTTTTTTTTTTTTTTTTTTTTTTTTTTTTTTTTTTTTTTTTTTTTTTTTTTTTTTTTTTTTTTTTTTTTTTTTTTTTTTTTTTTTTTTTTTTTTTTTTTTTTTTTTTTTTTTTTTTTTTTTTTTTTTTTTTTTTTTTTTTTTTTTTTTTTTTTTTTTTTTTTTTTTTTTTTTTTTTTTTTTTTTTTTTTTGTATTTATCCAGTATATTTTCCTGGTAAGCAAATATTATTAATCCATATGCATTTTCGAGCAAATTGGATAAAAGAATATGAATAAAGGAAAAACCTAATTTGTTTGAAAATCCTACTTTGGGGAAGGCGGTTGTTCACCTAATACTTGTAAAGCATTGTTAGGTGTTTGTCCTGATTTTTTTTAGCATATTTAATTTTCTTATCTCTTGAAGGAAAGGGCAACACGTTTAACATAATTGAGTTTTTCTTTCCTACAAGGAAATTATAAATCTCTCATATTTGGCTAGTCATTTTTGTTGGAAGAAAAGGTTTGAGCTTCTATAAATTGAGGATCCTTCCTTCTCATTCAGTAGCATCCACAATGTAGCCATAAGGGGTTTGAGAGTCTTGTTTAGGGGGAGAAATTTTCGGGACAAGTGTTAGTTTGCTATTTGTGTTTGCCTCTTTGTGAGATTGTTCTCTTGATATTTCGTACTCTCTTTTATATAGTGGATTGCTCCTCTCCATCTGTGGGCGTAGGTCAATTGACCGACCACGTTAAATATTTGTATCTCTTTTGGTATATTTCTCTTTTGTTGTCTGATTTATCGTTCTTCAAGGTTTGCTTTACTAGCTTCCGCATGACACCTGATTATTTCTATCCTAACAAGTATAACTGTGTTCAAAATGGAAAATCAGAAATGCAAAAGTTAGAACAAAAACGAAAATTTCCGAGATACGAAATCGAACAACTACCCCACAAGGCTTGCTCTCTTTTCAATTCTTTAAGAGCTAGAAGAAATTGTTAGTAAACTGTATTTGTAAACTAATTCTAGAAAAAATAGAATAGCATATAAACAGAAAATGTAAACAAAACAAAAGTTAATCCGAGCCCACTGAATTCACAGTGTTTCCTTAAGGAATTTAATCCCCTCCTAGTACCCAAGGTTATGGATTATTTTCTCCCAGGATAGAACGAATTACACACTGGTGTAGTGGTACTTCAAACCCCAGTGTTTCAGCGAACACAAAGTTCGGCAACAAATCACACTTACTGTTGCTTTCTTTGAAGATAAAACAATGCAGAAGAAAGGAGGAGAACTCAGAAAATCGTATGAAAATTCTGAGAGAATGGACTTGTATTTATAGCCAATGTTGGGCTGAAAACTGAAGAGGTGCAACTCTTCAGAATGGCTGTTTATGCAAAACGGCCATAGCATAAATGGCATAACATAAATGGCTAATACCGGAAATTGAAGAGGGAGGTTAATTTTCAGTTATACAACTGAAAAACTGAAAACGCTTCCGTTGGATTTTAATATTAATATTCTGTTATTAAAACGAATATTTAATAACATTTCGGTTAATATTTACTATTAACAAATAAATTTGGTCCAAAAAATTAATCAATCAATCGTTTGACCGAAGCCGAAGCCGAGCCGAGCGAGCGACGACGATGGCGCGAGGCTTGCCTTCTTCTCAATGGTGTAGCTGAACCGAAAAATAGAACCCTTAAGGAAATGATAAATTATATGCTTTTGAGTTCGGGTTTATCCGATAACATGTGGGGGGAAGCTGTTTTATCTGCATGCTATGTTCTTCATAAAGTCCCTCATAAGAAGTTAGATAAAACTCCATATGAGTTATGGAAAGGGTTTGCCCCTAACTTAAAATTTTTAAATGTGTGGGGGTGTTTGGCTAAGGTTGGTCCACCTGATTTTAAACAAGTAACTGTTGGACCCAAAACTTTTGATGCTATTTTCATTAGTTATGCTCAAAATAGTGTTGCACATAGATTTATGTCTTTGAATGATAGTTTTATTTGTGAATCCAGAGATGCAATATTTTTTGAGCATGTTTTTCCATTGAAAAATAATGTGCCTAGTGATGTGCCGAATAATGCTTCTACATCTATGTCTATTAACTCTCATATTGTACCTTCTTCTAGTGTTACTGCTAATGAGCATGAAAATAAACTTAGAAGAAGTAAGAGGCGTAGAATTGAAGCTAGCTTTGGTCCTGACTTTATTACCACTTTCTTGACTGAAAATATTGATCTTGATATTTTGAGTGATGAATTAGTGTCAATCTATTTAATAGAAGAAGACCCTAAGACATACAATGAAGCAATGAGGTCAATAGATGCTAATTTTTGGAAAGAGGCCATTAAAAGTGAATTAGACTCTATAGTTTCTAATCACACTTGGGACTTGTTTGATTTGCCTAAAGGTTGTAAACCCATAAGTAGCAAGTGGATATTTAAGAAGAAATTGAGACCTGATGGTACAATTGAGAAATATAAGGCTAGACTTGTTATTAGGGGTTTTAACCAAAAGAAAGACTTTGATTACTTTGACACTTATTCTCCTGTAACTAAGATAGCGACTATTAGAACTCTTCTTGCTTTAGTCGCTATTCATAATTTAGTGATACATCAAATGAATGTTAAAACGGCTTTCCTAAATGGTGATCTAGAGGAAGAGATCTATATGTCTCAACTTGAGGTATTTATGATCCAAGGACAGGAGAATAAAGTATGCAAATTGAGAAAGTCTTTGTATGGTCTAAAGAAGGCACCTAAGCAATGGTATGAAAAGTTTAATAGCACATTAGTGGATAATAGTTTTGTTGTTAATGCATCTGATACTTGTGTTTATTCCAAGATGATAGGATCAGATTGTGTTATTATATGTTTGTATGTGGATGACATATTAATCTTTGGCCCTAATTTGAATGTCATTAATGAGACTAAGAATTTTTTGTCTTCTAAATTTAAAATGAAAGATCTTGGAGAAGCAGATGTGATTTTAGGGGTTAAAATCAAAAGAACTGCTAATGGTTTTTCATTGTCTCAGTCTCATTATATTGAGAAAATATTGAAAAGGTTTAATTGTTTTGATGTAG